GGGGGGGCACAATATAGTTTGCCCGTACAGGCAAACTTAACATTAATTTTCTCTCCCAAAATGTTGGCGAGCTTGGGGAGGTCACCCGAAAATATTTTCGGGAAAAAAACCCAAATAAAAAATGTTCCCTAACATCACGTAATTTTCGCAAACATACAAAAATTTTTCTGACATATTTTTCCCGAAATTTTTATGTTTTGCCCGAATGTCGCATTGATTTTTGCCCGACCGCTGAAATTTTTTTTTTTTTGGGGGGGGGGCACACCCCCGGCCCATACGCCTATGATACAAAGTGAAAATCAAGTCAAAACGCCTTACTCAACATGTCGGCTGTTGACTATTCTCCCGAAATCTGCAGACTCTTTAGGCTCCTAAAAAATGAAACCATAATGAAAGTATTTTCAATTTAACTACCACTAATACACATAGTGAAATTGGTGAAATGAATTCACCACAAGTTGTTACAGGTCTGCACACAAGTTGTTAAAAATCTGTTCACAAGCTGTCGGCAATTTCTGCATAGCAAGAAAACGCTGATCTAGCAAAACTGACCTCTCCAAAAAATTCCTTGATTGTTTCTCTCAATCCCCTGATAAACTTATCTTGGACACTGGGATGACACAATATGTAATCTGGAGCAATGCATGTCTGTAATAAAACATAAGATGAGAGGAGTTATAAACTAAACTCACTTATTGATCATCTCTTATTGATCCAGTGTTATACTACAGGAGGAAACCTAAACTAAACTAACTTTATTTATACTGGATAGCTTTATCAGTTCTAAACTCCCCCCCCCCGGAAGTCCAACAAAAGCCACAAAAACTCAATTCTAAACTGTTTTTCCTATAGGTGTCCAAATCTAAACTAACTTTATTCCAAGCAAGCAGCTCTGGATATTTTCAAACAAGAAAAACGTAAGTTTTAAAATTGCATGCGTATACCTGTCCTGCATTGCTATACTTTCCCCAGGCCACTCTTCTTGATGCTAGCTTGAGGTCGCTGTCTTCTGATATGTAACATGGACTAAGAGAATACAACAACTAATGAAACACGATTACGAGGCCGATTGTTTGAAAAGTAGTTGCAGTAGGAGTATTTTAAAGTTAATTACTAAAATCTCGATCTCTAAGCACGAAAAACACAATGAACATGTTTGGCAGGCGTCTATTTATCTCACCGCCTCCC